ACACACACACACACACACACACACACACACCACACACACACACACACACACACACACACACACACACACACACACACACACACACACACACACACACACACACACACACACACACACACACACACCTGCCTTCATCTCGTCCACTGCAATTTGCAAATGTCTCGGAGGTGCAATTTCGTTCGTGCAAAGCATGGCTCGCTGGGAATGTTGGTGAAGGACAGCGGTTGCTGTGGAAGGACAGCGGTGGAGGAGGGAGTGTGCAGCATCGGCATGCAGGCACCCAGGCACGCCCATGTTGCAGGTGAAGACGGCCCACCGAGCGGCGCTGTCGCCACAAACATGCCATGCAAGAGCGGTTGAGACGAGCCACGCGCGGTTGAGGTGCAAGGCGCATGGCGACTGCCAGAAGGAGGCGTACATGCCATGAGGGATGCCTCATTTCCCCCGTCCCCTCCTGAGCCTCCCCATCCACGATGCGTGCTTCCGCCTTCACGGGCACCCTCCTAGTGGTGCTCGCTTTCAGCGTGCTCGCTCCTTCATCGACACACGCCATCGTCAACGACGTGAGTGCGCGGATACAAATGATTGAGACGGTGGCATGCTTGCTCTGCTTGGAAGCAAGAGGAGCACGAGCCCTAGTGGTCTTGAAGACTTGGACCCTCTCCCGACTGTTTTCCCTGTGCGCCTTCCCTTGTCGTGTTTGGCGCATTCAACTGGCTCAGCTTCTACGACTCTACATCGTACTCACCCCCAACACCCACGAATGTACTACTGCAGACTGTCGTTCTTGGAGATGAACTCAGCCCATCCGAATTCCTTGCAGAAGTGGTGAGCCCATTCGACAACAACGGATGCGCTCTGTGTGTGTGTGTGTCTATGTGTGTGTGTGTGTGTGTGTGTGTGTGTGTGTGTGTGTGTGTGCGTGTGTGTGCACCTGCTGTTGTCAACGGCCTTCCTCTTCCTCCCCCCCTCTTCGTGCACCACAACAACACCTCTGCCTCACCCAGCAAATCACACTTGTCCTCCATGTTCTTGATGTCCAAAAGGCAATCGATGGCTGCGCCAGCTTGACAGCTGCTTCAGAAGGCTACCACTTTGAAGGAGGCCAGGCGTCTGGTCTCTCCCAGGACCGCTGCACCACAGGTACACCTGGCTGTCATGTGTGCGTGTGTGCGTGTGCGTGTGCGTGTGCGTGTGTCTGCGTGCGTGCGTGTGTGTGCGTGTGCGTGCGTGCGTGTGTGTGTGTGTGCGTGTGTGTGTGGGGGGGGGGCGTGTCTTGTGCTTCTTGGCAGTGCCACCCAATACGCGCCACTTCTTCCTCATCATCGCCGTGGCCGCCAACGCTGCGACAGGCGGAATGTGCCAGTGCAAGAGCTTCAGCGATTCCTGCGATAGCGGAGGTGAGACCCACCGGCCACGGTGCTTGGTTTTGAGTGTTTGTTGAGAACTCCCACGCTTGCCATCCACCCGCATTCGACCAAAACCGTCAACCTCATCAACCTGCCCACACTCACTTGCTCACACACACACGCACGAACACACACACACGCACGCACACACACACGCACACATTGCTTGTCCTTCAGATTGCTACAAAGTGTACCGTTGCAATGACACCGCCGCTGATGGCTGCTTCGCCGTCTCAAACTGCACGCAGACCGTTTTCACCACCGTCATGGAGGTGCGTTCGCGCGTGTGTGAGTGTGTTTTGTACCTCATGCGCAAGGTGTCATCGCTGCACACACACACACACACACACACACACACACACACACACACACAAGCAAAACCAAACAAACACACAACAAACACACACACCAACAAACATACACACGTGATTGTCAACTCACCACCACCTCCCCTGCATGATCAGGTGGACGTGAACTGCCGCGATCCGCTCGACGAGCGCGACGAGGACGGCATCAACTTCTTCGGCATGCGCTGGAAGCAGGCACTCGAGGAGGACTGCAACATTGGACGCGTGAGTTGCACTGTACCGTGATGTCATTCGTCCCATTGTGTGTGTGTGTGTGTGTGTGTGTGTTTGTATGTGTGCGTATGTGTCTGTCTGTCTGTCTGTCTGTCTGTGTATGTGTATGTGTATTTGTTCTTTGTCTCCCTCTGCTCCCCACTCCAAACACACGCCATCCCACGATGCGGAATATCTCACGACATCCCTTTCTCTCCCTTCTCCCCATCTCTCCCTATCTCCTCAACGCTCCCTTTTCTCCACCCCCCCCCCCAACACACCCCAACACACCACAGGTGTGCCGGTACAACGGCGACACGGCTGCGACGATCGAGGTCATCAACGGCACCACCTTCCGCACCACCACTCTCAACTCGGCGCACGTCGACACGCTGCAGGAGTGCGCCGCCACCACCAAGTTCCGCTTCAACCATTGCACCGTCTTGGACGTGCGTGAGATCGAAGTGACAACCACGACCACCACAGCAACAACCACAACCACGATCACTACAACCACCACAACCACAACCTCAAGCACGACTCCTCTTGGGGAGTGCGAGTCACCATGCTCCAAAGCCGTGTCCAACTGCGTCGGCGAGGTTGGGCAGCGCATGCATTTCTGTTGTTGCTGCACCTTTCATCAAGCACGCTCTTGTATCAATGCCTCTGTCTGCTCTTCTGTTCTTCTTCACCGTCATGTTCACGGACGTGCACGCATGTACGCATGCTCTCACGTACTCACACACACGCACGCACGCACACGCACACGCACACACACACACACGCACCCGCACACACGCACACACACACACACACACACACGCACGCACACACACACACACACACACACGCACACACACACGCACGCACACACACACACACACACACACACACACACGCACTTGTACCACAGAGCCTGTATGGGAATGATATCCGTGATGTGTTTGCGGACTGCATGGCACTCGCGGGCCGGCACACCACTCTCGCCTTTGTTCAGCTCGGCGTCTGCCTCTCTGATTGCGACGAAGTGGACGCTTCCTCCACATTGGAAGATTTCAAGCGGAGCGCCAGCTGCTAGTGAGTTGCGTTGGGGATGAATGGACACGTGAACACTGCTTTGTGACGCTCGTATGTCTGTAATGGACTCAGCTGCTGGTTCTGATCGTAGCCTGTCAGTTAGCTCATCACTCCTCGGTTCCCTTGTCTGTGCTGCGCATCCCCAGCCGCTTCTGTGCCTTCTCCACTGCGGACATGAACTGCAACATCACAGTGACAACAACTACCACGTCCACCACCACGACAACAACAAGTACAACCACAACAACCACAACAACCACAACAACCACAACAACAACCACGACTGGCTGCATGGTTGACATGTACGAACCAAACGACAGTCCGCCTGGTGAAGTTGCTACACTGTCGGAAGCGATGAACAGCATCTCCGCCAGCATTTGCGACGGCGAGGACGACTGGTTCAGCATTCCAGTGTGCAACGGCACCGTCATCATTGACCTGTACTTCAACAATGACAAAGCAGACGTGGACATGGACCTGTATGATGATGGCGGCAGCCTGCTGACGTACGCGGACAGCATCACCGACGATGAACGGATTGTGTTCGTCCACGACGGTGACAACACCACCCTGTACATTGACGTCTTCGGCTTTGGGAACGAGTCTGCCCCTTACACCATGCAGACCACGGTGCTCTGCAGTGAGCTGGCGTGCCTGACAGACGATTCTGAGCCCAACGACACCCCCGAGACCGCGGCCTTCATTGGCAACGAGACCACCGAGCTGTTCGCCACGGCCTGTACAGATAACGACGACTACTACGAGGTGACCGTGTGCGCGAGTGGCCTGCTCGACGTTGCGGTGGTGTTTGACGACGACATTGGCGACCTGGACCTCATCATCTACGACGAGAGCGGGGCAGTGGTGACCGCCTCGGAGACAGAGGAGCGGCCAGAGCTCGCCTTCACCGTCAACTCCAACACTACCCACGCTGCCACGTACTACATTCTCGTGTTTGGGTTTGATGGCGACGAGGCTCCGTACAAGCTGGAGGTGTCGATTACGTGCAACGTCAGCTGCACCAACGACGGCTTTGAGCCCAACGACAGCGCCCCGGATGAGGTCGCATTCGTCTCCTCAAGCGCCAACTTCAACGCAACGGTGTGCTTTGGGGAGGACGACTGGTTCGCCTTTGCGTCCTGCGAGCTTGGCCTCATCAGCATCGACGTGTACTTTGACCACGAGGCGGCTGACCTTGACGTTGCCGCGTTTGACTTTGGGGGCAACTTGCTCGGCGCTGCAGAGAGCGAAACCGACGACGAGCACCTGAACGTTGTTGCGCCTCCGTTTGAGGCGCCCGTGTTTTTCGTTGTGTACGCCGTTGGGCCCTTCAGCGTGCAAGCTCCTCCTTCACCTGGTCCCTGCGCGCCTGGCGCGTGGCGGCAGATGACGATGACGATGACAACTGTGTGTGTGTGTGTGTGTGTGTGTGTGTGTGTGTGTGTGTGTGTGTGTGTGTGTGTGTGTGTGTGTGTGTGTGTGTGTGTGTGTGTGTGTGTGTGTGTGTGTGTGTGTTCATGTGCGTGTTTGTGCCTTCGCCACCCTGTTCGTGTCATTGCGTTGGCGCCAATGCTATTCCGACCCGTGTTGTTCCTTGCGGCCCCGTTATACTTTTGCGTTGTTCCCATGTCGCTTGGCCGCGAACGCCACTGCTTTGTTACTGGTCTGCGTGTGTGGTTTGGCTTGTCCCGGATGCATGCTTGCCATGAGCGAGTTGTTTGTATTGCTTGTGCCTTTTTGTGTGGCATGTGTTGGCTGCTTGAGCGCCTTCATCACCCACGCTGTAAACGATCGACTCGTATGTATCAGCGACAACACTGGTTGAAGCGCAACCATAAGTGTCCAGGCCACGCGCAACTGCTGTCACATGCAGGTTGCGAATTGCAGTAGCTGGACCATTTTATTACAACAGTGTGTACACCACCGACAACAGCAACGACATACACAAAACACGTGTGCAGGCGCTCAAGGTCAAACGAAAGGCGATGGAATTGTTGAAGAAAGAGAACGAAATATACGGTGACTGACGACGCACTGGTGCTAGCCTGGCGGTGGCCTGGTGTGGTTTGACGGCGTGGACTGTTTTGACTGTTTGGAGTGGTGGTGCGACAGCTGCGCGTGTCCTCCAGCTGGACCTTCTGGTGTTGTCGTTCGCTTCGTCGGCAGGTGCGGCGGTGGCTGGTGATGCGGCGCTGTCTGTGCCGCAAGCAGCGCCACCAGCGGCTCACCGCTACGCAGGGTGGCAACAACTTCATCCGCGTGCGCATGTGCATCTGCTCCTCGCTCAATGTCAAGAACATATTTGAGGGCGCCCTTTGCAATGCCGTGTGCACGTGCAGGAGCACCGCCGCCGGCCTCCCTGACCCCGCTGACAATGCCGTCAACAGTCGCCTTCCCTGCGTCCCCGAGGGAGTAGATGTGCATCGCTGTTGACCGGTTGAGGGTGGGCACAGAGATGACGCACGACACTCCCGCACAGTCGCCCGGCTGATCCTCCATGTCCCGCACCACCAACGTCTGGTAGGCGTGTGTTGCGAGACGGGACACGGGGACGAAGTGAGTGAGGGACAGTGGGACAGTGAGTGAGCGAGGGCATATGTGAGTGTTTGTGAGTGAGCGAGGGCGTATGTGAGTGAGTGTGTGTGTGAGTGAGCGAGGGCGTATGTGAGTGAGTGTGTGCGCGCGCGCATGTGCGATTGCGTGCAATGTGAGCGAAGAAAACAAAGTGCACATGAATTATGAGGGAGTGAAGAGGGCTCGAGCCCACCAAAATCCAAACCAATACGCCAGAGCATCTGCAACTTCTCACTCTGCAGAGCGCGCGAAGTGTGTGGTCGTGCCGTGTGGATGTGACAACGGCGGGGATGGCGCAGCCACCAGGTCCCTTTGAAGACAACAGAACGACGTTGCATTGTCATCCATGTCACAAAACAGTGTCTTGGCACCCAGACTCAGCATCACCGAGCAACTAGCAGAACCACCAGCAACGTTCCAGCAGAGCTCTGCTCACTGACCTGCACGTAGAAGACGCGTTTCAGCGCCCATCTCAAGGCAGCACTGCTCTCGCCAAAGGCCATCAAGCCAACGGACGTCCGGTCTGAACAGAAGAAACACATGGAGTATTGGAAAGAGGCGGTGGGTCTTTGTGAGGCGTTGCCACGCGTCGCCACCAGCGCAGTCACATCGCATGCGTGTCAGTTCAGGCAATGCGAGCACTGACCCTGCATTCTTGTCGGTAGGGCCATTAGGTGTCCGCAAATCGATTCAGCACAGTACCTGTGTGCGTGCGTGCGTGCGCGCGCGCGTGCGCGCGTGTGTGTGTGTGCGTGTGTGTGTGTGCATGCACTTGAGCGGGTGAGCGGGTGAGTGACGGGGGGAGGGAGGACTGACTTGACGATGGAGCAGGTAACAGACATGTCGACGTCAAAGTGGCACCAGCACCAGCACCAGCACCAGCACCACCAGCACCACCAGCAGTGATGTGTTCGAACCGTGTTGAGAAGTGCACGAGGTGAAGATGGGACAGATTCCTAAAGCGATGGAGCGCTGGCACGAGCTGCAGCCACAAATGAGCACAACACACAGCGAACAGCAATACGGACAAGGTATCAGGATCGTGCTTGGGGGAAGAATGGTGGTGGCATCTGATTGGCATCACACAGGATGGATCATCCCACCTCTTTCAAGTGGACGTGCATGTACTTTTCAGCCTTTGACTCTGTTCGCTGTGTGTGTGTGGGTGTGTGTGTGTGCGTGTGTGCATGTGTATGTGTGTGCGCGCGCGTATGTGTGTGTGAATGGAGAAGCAGACGCGACAGTGCAGGAGGGTGAGTGTCCACGCAAGGTGCAATGAGAGGCGATCGATGGCAAAAGAGCAGAAACATACGCACAGACACATACACGCACACAGACACACACACAGACACACACACAGACACACACAGACACACACACAGACACACAGACACACACACAGACACACAGACACACACACACACACACACACACGCGCACGTCGTCAAGGTAGGTCAGCTCGCAGATGAGGACACGTGTCGAGAGAACAAATGCATGTTTCAGGAGCGATCGTAGCACGCAGTCGCCTGCACGACGCACATGTGTGGGGTTGCATGGTGAGGGAGGAAGAGGAACGCAATCGCCAACAACCAAACGCCAGTGCGCGGTGTACCGGAATAGGTGAGAAGCGCCTTTGGTGGCCCAAACTTCTGCACAACCTGTGGGGTGATGAGGAGAGCAGGTGCAGGGATCAGGGTTGGGGTGAGGCCGTGAGCAAGACGCATTCGAGTTAACCTCAGTAGCAATGCGCACACACATGCACACATACACACACAGGGAGATATTTGCGCAGACACAGACATAGACATACATACACATGCACAGGCATACACACATGCACACAGACATATTGCAGCAATGCAGTACAAGCTACGGCGTACATTCTCGTCGTAGAGGGCTTTGATCTCCATCGGGGGAAGACCGCGAAACTCTGGCGGGAGCGGCTGCAAGCGGAACGGGGGGAGGGGGCAAGTGCGTGGGTGAAGGGAGGCGAGAGGATGCACACACGTAAGCATGCGGGCTTGAGTACTTGCACAGGGGCAGAAAAAGCAACGGGGCGAGCAATGGGAGAGCAACGGGGTGGGGGAGCAAGTTGGGCAGTACATTTGTGCAGAGACACAACGCACAGTCACAGACAGACAGACAGACAGGCACAGACGCCGACTGACTTACAGACACACAGACACAGACACACAGACACACAGACACACAGACACACAGACACACAGACACACAGACACACAGACACACAGACACACACACACACGTACGAGGCGGTCACGGCGCTGGAGGACGAAAGCAAATGCATTGTGGACGCGGTGCTCAACAGCAAGGACTTTGACAGCAAAGCCTTTGCCGACGGGAACAACACGACCGGGCCAGATGGGTTCGAAGCGAGCGGGAGGCACCTTTGGAACACCATCGCTGTCGAGGTCTGCAAACAGCTGGCGTGACGATGATGTGTGGTCGGTGACAAAATGCTCGCGTTGAGGGAACACATGGAGGTGCACAGGGAAAGGACCACGCAGACACAGACAGGCAGGCAAACAGACAGGTAGGCAAACAGGCAGGCAGGCAGGCAGGCAGGCAGGCACAGTCACAGACACACAGACACAGACAGACACAGACAGACACACTCGCAGACACAGACACACAGACACAGACACGCGCGCGCGCAGCGGCTGACCTGCTGCATGCGTCGGAGATGTGGAATCACGGGCTCGGGGACATAGTAGGTGGCTGGGCCAGAGCACATTTCACGTGCTCGGGCGTGCAGCATGAGGGACCCAACATGATCCTGTTTGGAACAGGACGGGGTGATGTGGCAGCATTCGAACAGATATGGACAGGACATGTGAATCAAGAGGTAGTAGGGTCCTCAGAGGGCGAAGGAGCTGAAATGGTGACTTCACGTGACCACACACAGGCACGCACAAATGAACAGACACACACAGACACACAGACACACAGACACACAGGCACGCACAAATGAACAGACACACACACACACAGACACACAGACACACAGACACACACACGCACAGCCACAGACACAGACACAGACACAGACACAGACACATACACACACACATACACACACACACACTCACACGCACAGCCACAGACACAGACACATACACAGACAGTCACGCACGCACAAGCTTACCGTGTGGCAATGCGAGACAAAGACGTGTTGTGCCTGCACACTCTCTGTCAAGCAAGCCCTACAATCACGCCATCATTGTTGTGAGCACATGACGAGTGGGTGCGCTTAGTTGATGCACGCGGGGCAGTAGTGATGTTCTCGGACGCACCCAATGTCAAAGCAGATGGAGAGACGCGGAAGCGGGTTGCTGGTTGTGACTGTGATGCACGTTCCATGCCCAGCGCTGGAGTGAGACGTGATCTCCAGTCCATCCAACACCTCAGTCATGATGTTGTGCTTGTGTGGTTGTGTTGTGATCGCGTGGAAAGTGCGCGGTTACACAGAGTGTTCCTTGCTTTGTGTGTGTTGTTCTTTATTGATTGCCTGTGACATGGGACAGTTATGACACGCCAGCCCTCCCCCCACTCTTCCCCTTTTGCGTTGCGTCACTGGTCTTCTCTGTCTGGTCTCGTGAAGTTGTTCTGTCGCCTGAACGTTCCTCCAGGTACAGTCTGCACAACGTATGAGCATGTGTGTGCGTGTGCGTGTGCGTGCGTGCGTGCGTGGGGGGGGGGTGTTAGCGAATGAAAGCTGTACTTTTGAGTGACTTTCAGCTTACACACAAGCACAGACAGACAGACAGACACACACACACACACACACACACACAGTCGCAACACACACAGACACACACACACAGACACACACACACACACACACACACACACAGTCGCAACGCACCGCTGTCATGCCTGGGACCTGTCCAGTCTTTGTGCTCCACAGGGTGGTTGGCTCCTCCTTGAGGTATGACGTCTCGCCCTTTGGCTGCAGCGTGGCTGCGAGAGCCTCACGTGCAGACACTGCAAGGGCGCAAGAGGGGGGGGGGAGGAAGAAGCAGCAGGACAATACATCCGGAGTCAGGAAGCCACGGAGTAAACACATGTAAAGCAAGTAGGCAGGCACATGACCTCGATGTGGGAGACGTCGAGCGTAGACCAACACGGATGTACGGATGCACACACACACACACACACACACACACACACACACACACACACACACACACACACACACACACACACACACACACACACACACACACACACACACACACACACACACACCTAGTTTGACGGGTTCTGGCGCAGGCACTTCGTCCAAACTCTTGACCTTCTGATCCCTCTCCTCAATCTCTTTCCTGTCAGAAGACACTTGCACGTCAGACCTTGTGTGCAAACGAAATGGACACGCTGGCAACAACCAAAACAAGCATCACATCGACAGCGCATCCCCCTTGTTTCCAACTCACATGGCTCGCTCACGCGCCCGTTGCTCTCGCAGTTGTTGGCGACGGCCTGCAGGGAGACGTGTTGGTGAGACGCGTGGGTGAGGCATGAGTACAGAGAGAGTGCGTGCGTGTGCGCGTGTATATGCGTGTCCACTTGTGAGTCTGTGCGTGTGTGTGTGGCTTTGGCAGCCAAGGCCTGTGAATCCACCCTGACTGGGAACAGGAAGCAAGCGCTCCCAAGTACCTCACAAGCAATCGCAACGCACCAACATCCTTGCGGGGCTCTGGCGCGACCGGTGGATGTTCAGATTTGAGGGTGGAGGATCCTTCGATCTTGGTGCCACCATGGCTAATCAGGTCCTGACATCATGACAAACGGTACGCACGGTACAAACGGTACAAGGAGTTTGGCAAATGTACAAAGAGATAAGCAACGTGTCTGAGTTCAGGACTAGGCAGGCATAGATGGGGGGGGGGAGATGGCAGTGGAAATGGAAATGGAAATCGGAATGGGAATGGAGAGAGAGAAACATACTGGTGGGGAGAGATGGAGATGAAGAGAGCCACACACACACACACACACACACACACACACACACACACACACACACACACACACACACACACACACACACACACACACACACGCACCGGTGTGCCGTGCTTGAGGTCCCGAGCCTTGTTCACGCTCAGGTTTGCGTCCAGCTTCTGTTGACTGTCACGACAACAACCAACAAGCAACAAGCAACAACCAACAACCAACAACCAACAACCAACAACCAACAACAGCAGTGGTGAGCAGGTTCCAGAGCCAAGGACAGCAAAGACTGCGGCGGAGAGGGGAGCGAATGCACGCATGCGCTGGGCTCGTCACCTCCTCGTTGACTGGTCCATCTTCGTCGTCGCTGTTGTCGTGGTGCTTCTTTCTTCTTGGTTTGTTTGTTGGTTGTGAGGACGAGCTGGGAATTGCTGAGTCAGCAATTTCGTGCGGCACACAAGCAGCACAAGCAAAGATGGTTGATGCCGTGGTTGTTGGTGCGGTGGTGGTGGCGCTTGTCATCGTGGCCGTGATCCTCATCAGGAACAAGTACAACACAAAGGCGGTCAAAGGTCAGCAGTGTCGATTGCTTGCGTCGATGTGTGTGCGTGTATGTGCGTGTGAACGAGTGAATACACACGTGTAGACACACACACACACACACACACACACGCGCGCGCGCGCGCGCTGGTGTATGTCTTCTGGCGTTCGTGGTGGCGCTCCCTGCTGCTTCCAGCCCTCCACATTCCCATGTTGTGGTCCCACTCCACGTTCTCCACAACCACCACTTGCTCACCAAACGCTGTTCCCACGCGCCTACGTCCCTGATCCGTGCAGTCGACAGCGAAGGCCACGCCGTTGAGAACGAAGAGGATGACAAGAAGAAGAATAAGAAGAACCAGAAGAAGGGCAACACAGCAGCAGGCCGACAGCAGGGCCGCCGCCAGGTCATGCGCAGGAGGCGAGGACGCCAGCAGGACACTGAGGACGATGATGAGGAGGAGAACAATGCCGACGCCACCAGTACCCGGCAGCAAGGTGCAGCGGCTGCGCGTGCAGCGCCTCAACAGCAGCAAACAGGCGATCACAGCGAAGGAAGCAGCACGGACGACGAGGACGACGAGGAAGGTGACGACCTGGACAAGATGCTCGCCAAAGGTACGCACGTTGTGCTTGCCGCCAATCGTGTGTGTGTGTGTGTGTGTGTGTGTGTGTGTGTGTGTGTGTGTGTGTGTGTGTGTGTGTGTGTGTGTGTGTGTGTGTGTGTGTG